TCATGTGATGTTAGTCTTACAGATTTACCAGGGCAGGTATGCTAAAGCTTTCCCTACATATAATTTCATCAGCTACTCTAGCCTGTCACAGAACTCTAGCATCACATCCAGGATCAAACTCCTCAGAAAGAATTCAGTTAATCCAACAACTTTTAAGAGCTCAACATTTGGATTGCCCAGCTGACTCTCATTGTGAATTGTAAATTTTACAAATCTAAGCAAGAAACCTAAGAACTCCTCACATCTATACAGTATTGTGCATCTCTTCCTGGCTGGTTGTGCAGAACTATGAGAAGTTTCCTGTGGCAAAGATCTGCCCCAGTCCAGGGGCAATTTACTTGCCTGGGGATAAATACAGTGGTGCTTCATTTCAATTGCAAGGCTCTATCTGGATTTTTGCTTTTGTTTTTAGTGTGTGTGTGTGTGTGTGTGTGTGTGTGTGTGTGCGTGCGTTTCCTTTTCTCTTTGAATCTTGAAGCAGGAGTAATTACTATGTATATAATCACATGCTTGGATTTACAAATTTAACGAAATGCTTCTTTTAAGAAATTATAAGCAAAAAAAAAAAAAAAAGAAATTATAAGGTTTGCCAGGTGTGGTGGCACACACCTGTAATCCCAGCATTTGGGAGGCTAAGGCAGGAAGGATTGCCACCAGTTTGAGGCCAGCCTTAACTATATAGAAAGACCTTGTCTCCAAAAAAAAAAAGTATAAGGTTTGACTACCAAAAAAAACAGATGTCCTTTGAGAAATGTCAAATCAGGTAAGGATTTATGTTTGTAGAAAAAGAAAGCTCATCTCGCCCACATTAAAAGCTCTAACATCTTTTCCTGGCCTGAGCCCACTCACTATGTGCCAGCAAGTCTGCTCTAACTCCATCCAAATGGAAGTGGAGAGTGGTGTTGGATTCATATTTCAAATCGCCCCCTCAGCCAGCCTAAGTCAGGACTCTTCAGCATCTTACATTTTCTTACAATGCCTGATTTATGCATCAAAACCCTCTAACACACCAGTACAGTAAAAATGCAGGCGAGTGGTGTAAACTGGCAAGAACACTATCTCATTCCATGCTAGGTGAAGTGGTTCAGATAGCTGTCACTAACACCAAGGGGTTTATTAATAGGCAAAAATTAATTGTATGTAGACTGAATTAATGAGATGGAAAAACATGCATATTTCAGCTAATACAGAGGGGACTGGCCTCTGCTGAGCGCTGGTAATGAAGTGCCTAAGCCATGGGATGCAGTGGGGAGAAGCTACCAGCAAGCTGGAGTCCTTTTGTGATCATGGGGGCTGGAGGTACCTTTAAAAAGAAAATACACTGTGAAATGTAAACATCAGGCAACTGTTTTGAGCACAAAGTTGACCCCTGATGCGTCTTCTGCAGACTGCCATCTACAGATTTATAAATAAATGATTAGATGTAAAATCTCCAGAGGATTTTCCTTTTCCACAGCAATTACAGGAGCAGATTATTACCATTCAAGTGAGGTTCCAGGGAAAGTTCTTGACTGGCAGGAATCACTCACTGCTGTCCTCCTGCCGTAAGTTACCATGACAGGAAATCCAATGTTCACATGTACTGTGAACATTTTAACAAGCAGAGTCGATATGCACTGAACGAACACATTCTTGAGTTAAAATATATTACTGTCAATAACAGACTGGATTAAGAAAGCAGAAGTTTCAAATGTGATCAATGTCAGGAAGAAGTTTTCCATATTTCATATCTGCACATTGTTAAAAGCTGCCATGTGCATGGAAGTCTAATATTCACTTAGACATTTTCTCTTTGGCTGTTGTTGTCCAAATTCTTAAGTCATTTAAACACAAGGTAATGAGGCTAATCAACAAGTAATCAATGAACAGTATCTAGTTTAGCACACATTTTCTATTCTAAGAGTTTTCTTTCTTCCTGAAACTGCAGGAGGGAAAAATCATCTTCTACCTTTGAGACTCAGTTTCATTTCAAGAACAACCCTTGCCCTCACAACTCCAATATACACACTTATACACAGAAACTGATCTTCTAAGAAGATTCACAGCAGCAAAAACAAAACGACTTCCTATTCTTGACTATTTTCTTTATTATAGATTGGTATGTAGTAGGAATGGATTTTCAAAGTCTTTACATTTTTGAAATTGAGTCATACTGAAATATGATAGTAGAGAGTGTCCCCATGTCCCTCCATTCAATCTCACTAAAGGATAATATTTTCTATAGAATCACAGTGTGTTGTCAAAAGCAGGAAATTGTCATTGGTGCAGTGCTGCTAAGCAAATGGTATGTACCTTATTAAGATGGCACTGATTTTTCACACTTTTAAAAATTTAGGTTGTTATGAAATTAAAATAATTACGCTTTGTAAATGAATTTTAATTATTTGTTTAGGTTCAGTTAGCTACAGCCCCAAGCAGGATACAGAACTGATGGACCATTCAAAGACAGTCCCTCTAGCCACCCCATGTGTATATGTCTTTCTGCCATCCTAGGCCCTGCTAGCCACTGATCTCATTTCCATCACTATAAGCTTGTTATCTTGTGAGTGTGACATAGTTACACCTGTTAGGACTGGCTTCCTTCACTCAATATGATAGCTTTTAGGTCCATCCAAACTGCATCATGTATCAATAGTTTGTTGCTTTTTATTTCTCCTTTTATAAGTATTCCATTTAACAGATGGACTACAGTTTGCTTATACTTTCACCTTTGGAAGTACGTTTGAATTGTCCCTAATTTGACAACATCACAGATAAAGATGCTATGGACATCTCATAGAAAGTTTACAGGTCATACAGTGGGTTAAAGAAACCTCTTCCTTGTACTACAATGGCATGTAATCGCTGTCACAAATCGATAGGATATGAGTGAAAGGAGTATACAAGGTCTGTGAGCTGTGCTCATTTGCTCCTGAATTGCACTACAGCACAATACTGCTGCTTGGCTGGCCTCTCTCTTCTAAATCAGAGAAATTTTCCAGCTTCTACACTTAAACAGTGGGATTAGAATCAGAATGGTATAATGGAGAGTGGAATGATCTGTTCAGTCACAGTTATTTTGGGGAAGTTACTTTTAATTCTGTGACATTTTTATATTCTCATGAAGTACACAGGAGTTCTCTGTATCACTATAAAAATGATGCGTTGTCTGGTAAACAAAACACTTTTGACTCTAACTTGCAAAAGAAGGCATTAAGTTTGTTTCCTATGGCTAATTTTTTTTTGTTTTGTTTCAATGGCATAAAGTGAATGTAAGACAGCTATAAGTCCTCAAGGCACCAATGGTGGAAAGACTAAAATCTTTCACTGCAGGATGAAAGTACATTATGGATTTGTTTGCTGACCATTTCAGCCAACAAAAAGCCACATCTCAACTTTAAGCTCCTCAAAGACCATTCTGTTACTTCAGTACGATGTTTATATTCTTGGCAGAATATTTTATAAGTATTTCACTTATTTTCTTAATTAGATACATTTCCATTGAGTTATACCCACAATTCTCAAACTTTGCTTTGCAGACCCCTACAGTCATATAGGATGTCCATGATGTTTGAAAAAAGAAAAGCATTTGCTTGTCAAACAACACTGACTCTCACAGTATTCTGCCCTCAGCCCATGGCCTGGAAGGTCTTAGAGGTAAGAGGCCTGCTCCAACTTTGTCCAACCAACCTGGAGTTCCACATCATTCTGTTTAGACCCTTAAAGCACACTGAAACTTCACGAAGTTTGGGAAATAAATACATCATAGTACAAAATTTAATCAAACTAAGGGCTCAACAAAAACATATTAATCCAAACCGCTTGCTTTGAAAGCTTAAAAGAAAATTGGCCAAGTCTATGACTAACATTTCCTTTATACTAAGGATGCTGTTCTTTTTCTTAAGGTGACTTATAACAGTTAGGGCTTTGTATCACATACTTTAAGGGAGGGCCACATGTAGTGCACATACAACATGGCTGATGAGACTAATACAGTATATTTTACTCCATAAGTGCCACTAAAATGTTATGAAGTGAATTTCCTTCAAGGCACTTAGGATTTGATTATATTTTTATATGAAGTTTAAGGCTCATAGTAAATATCTTACAGTATGTCTCCTACTGTCTCAACTGAAAGATGTATTCCCAGAAAAGATGCTTACTTATTAGATTAGAGTCTGTTTCTCATGCCTAAAGTGACTGGAGGTGACATATGCTATCTACCTCGGCCCGGCCAAGAGGCACAAGCAGCTGAACAAGAATGGCAAAGTGTCACACACTGCACTGCTGACAGCCCTCTGCCTTTCACAAATGACAGTGTTCTGCACTTGCTCTTCCTAGACAAGGAAGCAACCCAGGGTGGTGCAGCTTTCCAGAAGTGTCTTCTGACAGCAGCCTTCACTGGCTTGTATGTCTGTAGGAATTAAAAGTATAAAAACAAAGGAGCTGGGTGTGGTGGCCCATGATTGTAATCTCACCACTCTGGGGAGCAGAGGCAGGAGGATCATAAGTTTGAGCCAACCAGGGAAACTTAGTGAGACCATCTCAAAATAAAAAGTGAAAAAAGGGCTGAGGATGTAGCTAAGTATGAAGGCCCTGAGTTCACTCCCTAGTACCAAGAATTTAGGGCAGTAAAGGAAAGAAACAAAGGGAAAAGGGAAGGCCATTGCTTCACTCTAATCACTGATATGGTACTACATTATTCCAGGTCTCTAAAATAGTAATCCTGAAGCCCTTTCTCCCTCCTGCTCAGAATTAAAATAATGGCTGTTACATGGAGCTATCCATATATTCTTTGCTCAAGCCTCCTCTTTTGAATTTTATGCCCAGCCTCCTCAAGAAGAGTGTTTTTTGGCCATAATGAAGGAGGAAGCTGGGCAGCATCCATAGTTACTGCTGGCTTGGTATTCACAACCTGTCAAGGTAGCTTTATGACCTCACAGTCAGCTGCTATAATTCCAATAATGACCTTCAAACACCAAAAGAATCTAAATTTATTACTGCTCCTGGTAGGGCCAAATACCTGGTTTCATCACTGAGCAGGCGGAGCCGAGCCTGACTCGTAGTGGTGCTTGTATCAGCTAGGGTGTGCTCTGAACCCCTGCCTGGCCTGTACCCCTCACCTGCCCAGGTCCCCACAGTGGCAGCTCCACTGTCACCATGATGCATGGTGGAGAGCATAGCCACTGCTTCCTGCCAGCAGACAGAAGCACTCTGTGGGCTGTGGGCCACGTATAATGCCAGTTGCAGTAGTAAAGTGGTAACAACAGGTCACTGACTGGTGTTGGAGCAGGAGACTGGCATCATGGTAAGACTGCCTGGCAGTGGGGAAGGTGGGGAGGGGAACCCTGCTTGCAAACAGACCAGAAAGTTCAGTCTCAAGGTGAGCTTCTCCTGCTCTCCATTAGATCCAGCCACCATCAGGATCCTCCTGCCATTTTGGAGGAACAGGGACAAGGAATACCCTCAAAAACTTGCAGCTGGCTGTTCTTCCAGTGCAGAGGTTGACAGAAGGGTTAGCATTTACTGATTTATGGCAACCTTGGGAACCAGGAAAACAGCATGTATTAGAATGGGGGGAGTCAGGAGGAAAACAGTTATTTTAAAACCATTAAAATAACTGTAAATAATAGAAAATTATTTTTCTCCATGAAGACAGAAGACAAAATACAAGGCTGAAAATATGTACAAATTTTTTTTTAATTTAAATGCACATGTATCAGGTAAATCAACTCTAATGATCTTTGGCAAGAAAGTCTGTTGTTTTCCCTGAACCACTATAGATAGATGCTCATACATCCCACAGCCAAGGCAAAGAATCAGCTGCCTTGCCCTTGGGAAGTTACCACTAATGCAGTGACAATGGCTTGCGTATCTTAATGTAGCTGCTAGTGAAATGGTTACTATTTCAGACTTATTGAAATAAGAATATTGAAGGCTCCAATCAATAACTACAGTTTTTCAAGTGCTGGGACCACAGGTGTGTGCCACCATACTAGGCTCAAAAAATATACTTTTGATGCCCAGTACTGCTATTGTTTTACACTGTAGAGAATGCATTCTCTGTGCCTAAAAAGTGAAATATGAGATCATTCCACTTTCACTATCTTAATTTAATGCATCTGTTTTGCATATTTACTAAGAAACTCCCAATGAGATAGAAAATTTCATTTCCTTGTGTGGTTTTTCTGTAGAATAGTCTTTTATAATGGTGTCTTTTATTTAAAAGAATCAATTCATCAACTTAAAAGTGATTATAATTATCAAATGGTTTGTTTCTATTAAATACACTGTAACTCCAGTTGTACCCTCAGCACATGCTAAGTCTGATGTGGCCCAGTCCCTCTCAGCTGTGTCATCCTGTTGATCTGAGCCCCTTCCACACTGACCTTCATGGAGTACCAGAGGATGACCTTTATATAGGACACCAGTGTTGAAAGTGAAAGGTCAGCTGAGCTTGGTCCTCTTTCTTCTGAGCAGGGGGACACTCCCCTTCAATTATCCCATGGTCCCAACCATCCGTCTCTCTGCTGGTCACTCCAATGCTCATGTCTCATGACAGGTAGTGATAACATGTGCCATTCATGCCATGGGACATCAAGCTTCTTACAGAGCCTATTTATATCTCTGTACTACATCTTTACAACTTGGAGCACAAGATTCCCATTACCATGGAGACAAGGGTGTGGAGTGCAGGTAGGACAGAAGAATGAAGAATGTTTATAAAAGTGAACAAGCACACGTCCCTGGGAAGAGACAGCAGGCCTGTCCTCCTGGTCATTGATGTGGATGGAGCACCTGTTTTCTACTTGTTCCACACACAGACAATGGCTTTGCCCCAGCTTCCTGGCTGAGATTGGGTGGCTTCAGTAGGCATTTGTCCTCAAAGTGTAAGTGCACTCCTGCTGAGTCAACAGAGTTCTTAATGCTTCCCTCCTGAGCATTTGGTATGCCAGGTGGCAGTGCACAGAGATGAAACAGGGTTGTGACCTCCCAAAACTACAGCACAGCGGTGCTTGCCCTGAAACCCTCAGGCTTTGGTTTCTGAAAGGGGACCTGGGGCTGTCACTGTGAGGCAGTGGTGCTGGCAATGGACTCTGGTGGCCTCTTCCCACCAACCTGGATGCCAGTCTCTGAGACTGCTGCCAGCTCGCCTTGGAAACACCATCTTCCTTCTTTAACGATTCCCTTTCTCCCTTGATTCCCTCATCCCAAGAGGTCCCAGAGGCAGCTCTGAGGTGGATTCCTCTTAATCCACCCCTCTGACATATACTTCTGCTCTGTGCCTGCTGAACAGACCTGTATCCATAGGATCTGACAAGTCTGAGGAGCAGCAGTCCCAACACTAAAGCTGTCACTCCTGCCGCACCTGACTTTCTGCTCATGTCCCACTCTGCTGAGCACTCCACTACCATAGTCAATATATCCATAGCATGGGGCACTCCTCTGCCTGATCCACTCTGCCTTCCTTCTTCAGTCAGAGTCTTCTTATTTTGAACACTTGTCCCTTCAATCTGACCATTGCCACCCACATTCCTCTCACCTCCTGCCTAGATCACTGTGACAGTCTATTTCCAAATCCAACACTCTCCACACCTATAGCCAGGGTGGCAGTCAGAAACAAAACTCCTTCAGGGCAACCATGGACTCTTGCATTCACATGGCTTCTGAATGCTCTTACAAACCTTACAGTGCTGGCCCAGCTCTCCTTTAATCCTAATTTGGGTTGGTTTTTTTTCCTGCTATGCTGGACACTGAGCACATGGGCCCCTCCCAGATGTCTCCAGGACACTGTAATCCTACTTCAGAGATGTCAACATGCTCTTCCCATGGCTCTACTCCTTCCCACGGCTCTACTCCTTCCCACGGCTCAACTTATTTAAATGGTAGCTCTCAAGGAAGTCTCTCTAACCCCACATACAAGATGTGAACCCCATCATATGTTTTCCTGAAGCCTGGCACTTCTCTTGGTAGTGCTTCCCTTAACTACAATTGAGCATGACTTGCTCATTAGTTGTTGAACATCACCGTGACCTGTACACTGTGGATTCCAAGTGGGTAGAGAGAGACCATATCTTAATCTTATTGCTATGTTCCCAGTACAGGTCCCGGGATATATTTCAGGAAGGAAAGATTTGGTACACCGAGGACCTCTGAAATAAGAGAGATCATCAAGAGCTCAGGGGATGCGAATACTGGGGACATTCCAGCTCCTCAATCATCATTTGAGATGTTTGTCTCAAGAGCACAAAGTCATCAAGGCTTTCTCATGCTCTCTAGAGAGCTGTCTTTTATTTTCCTTTGTAAACCTTTTTCACCTTTTAGGACTGTGTTTCATTTTACCATCTTGATAATACAAGAGAAACTCATATGCATTTACATCAAGTCCCTGCTCTCAAAGACAAGCAAGGGATCTGTGTAGCAAAGGAACCTTAAGAGGATAGACAGAGCAAGGGAGAAGACTTTAACAAAGTGCTCCTGGGAGCCACTGAATGGGGGCGGTGGTTACCAGGGCAAAAAGTAGACAATCCTTAAAGTAGACAGTTGATTAATGACAGGCATTCAGCTTCCACCACTAACAGTACCGAAACAACAACAACCATCATATAGATTCAAAATTAGTCAGTGTGGAGCTTTATTTACTTTAAAGAATAAGTAATCTCAGTATTAGAATAAAAAAGCATTTGAATGGTTATCAAATTAGATAATTTTGGTCCCTCCCCAAAACAATTATGTTTTAACATCTTATTGTGGTTTAGATATTAAAAGTTTCCCAAATTACATATTCCATTATTTAAAAAATATTTCCATATATGCTAATTTGTTTCATTTATACTAAAATTTTATTTTAGTTCACTGAAAAGAAAGTTTGTTATTATCAGTTTGTTTCTTTTTTGTAAGAATCTTTTTGGTTAGTGACTTGTACTAAGTAACTACTTTGAAGATAAAAATACACAATGTGATAACTGTTGTTATTCTCTTTATTATTTCATTATGAAAACATGATTTATATATTTATAAAATAAAAAAATATTTTTTGTAAGAAAAAAAGTCTCCCAAAGCTCATATGTTGAAGGGTGGTCCCCCTCTGATTCAGTGCTCATGGGTGGACCTGTGGGAGGTTATTGTATCGTAAGGGCTCTGACCTCATGAATGGATTAGTCCACTGATGGATTTATGAATGGCTTAATGGGTTTTAAGGGAAGGGCTTTGTTACAGAAGCCAGCTCTTTGTATTGTGGCCCACATGAGACAAGTATTTCTACTCTACCACATGCTCCCTGCCATAATCTTTTCCTTCACCACAGGCTGCAAGAGAGCAGTGGGGCCAAGTGGCTATGGACTAAAACTTCTGAAACTGTGAGCCAAAATACACTTCTTTCCTTTAAGTTGATTATCTCAGGTATTTTGTCACAGTGACAGAAAGCTAAGATACATCTTAAGATAGCATAAAAGGACCGGGGATTTAGCTCAGTGGTTCTGCCGCCTGCCTGCCTCGCAAGTGCAAGGTCCTGAGTTCAATCTCTGGTACCAAAAAAAAAAAAAAAAAAAAAAAGATGGCATAAAAGTATTCTTGCATTTACTTTAATGAAAGGTAGTGGAGACAATTTCATAGCATTCAAGACAGTTAAAGCAGGGGAGTTAGGAATGCCTTCCTGCAGTAGCCACACAATCAATGCATGCATGGGCTGTGAGGATCTGCAGCTAAGCTCATCTTTCAAACTCAGGCTGAAGCAATCACCTTACTGCTTTAGATCAACACTTTAAAATATTTAGCAAAGGCCTATATAAGAAGGATTAGGTTTAGCAAAAGATATGACCCTTTTCTCCACAAACTTCCATTATGTTTTAATATAAATAATCTTTGGTAAACTTACTCAAAGATATTAAATACCACACAAAACCTGATTTCCTATGGTTAAAATTCGTATGAGAAAAATTCTTATCACCCATGAAACCTTCATGTCTCACAGTTTTGGAAGTACAGTGGTCACAAACTGAATCAAATTTCTCCATAAAGTCAACATTGAACCTATTTGTTGAATTTGATTCAATTCTTGTCCAATACGGTTGTGACAAGAATTGTGGAATGAATCAAGTTCATGAACTGAGGTACCACTGTATGAGGTGGTAGTTTCTTCAACTGACATATCCAGGTCAAAAGTACCCACAACCTGATGAATTGGCACTGAGATAATTTTGGATGGAACCAGAGGGCTGACATCACCCACCCGCCCCAAGACACAACAGGAAGCTCAAGGTGAGGATGGATGATGACCTGCAGAACAAGTGCCCAACAACACTTGACTGCTGGGCTTACCTGCAAGGTCGTAGGCATGGAGGGGAAGGTGCCTTAATACAATAAAGACCCTGAAATAAATTTTTTTTGGTGGGAAGGTCTGCACATATAAAATTCTACTTGTGGCAGAGAAGTTATATAGATCCCTTGGTAGAAGATGAAAAGGTGGGAGAAGCATGTTTTGTTCTTTTTAATATAGGATTTTCTTGAAACCAGGCTGTGGGACTTGAAGTCAGCTTTGAAAAATGGGTGGGTCATACAGGAAGAGCTAACAGTGACCATTTGGGGTTAGGGCTTCAAGAAAAACAACAGCCCCCTGGTATGAAGGTCACTTCCCTGTGAGGTGACTGGGAGGTAGCCTGCACAGCTGAGGAGCAACAGAGGCTGCCTTGCAGGGCCAGCTGGGCCCCTCGTTTTGAGGGATGACTCTGAATGGCCACCTTACAAGAGTAAGGGTGATCATCATTAGATCAAAGTTCAAAGAGCTCTGCTCAAAATATATTAATTTCTGAAACTAGAATGAGCCAATCCTAGACTCTTAGTGCCCCCACCACTCTTGGAGGAAGAAAAAAATCCTCCCAGGCAACATGTCATTTCTACATATATTTCTTCAAATGTAATAATAGGACATAAAATAAAAAATGAGATATATGAGGAGATAAGACAAGACGTACAAAACCCAGTAGAAACAAGGACTAAAAACAGTCTCAAAGATTCCAAATAGTGGAATTTAAAATGACTGTGCCTTACTAAGTTCAAGTAGAAGCAAAAAACCCAAGGTAACAAAATACAGGGGAAAATCTGAAACTGTTTAAATAAAATGAATACTATTTTCCCACAAATGTCTCCAATTTATCCTTCTTTAAAGCCAAGTAGTATTCCACTACATACTGATATTACATTTTTTTATCCAATCATATGTTGATGAGTATTCTGGCTGCTTCCAGGATTTAAAGATTATGAATTATGTTACTACAAACAGTGTATCACTGTAGTGGGAAAATGGATGCATCTGGAAAATATATAAATCAGCACACAAGCTTAAATACTATATGATATCTCTCACTGGAGTAAAGCAAAGTACAAGGAGAATAATAAAGGATAGATGGAAGAAAACAAGAGGGTAGACCTCTTCCAATGAGAAGTGGTCCAGGAGACTGACTGTGAGGTGGAGGGGAAGGGGAAGTAAGTAGAATTAAGATATAACATGTACAAGAACCTAATAACCTCAATGCATGTAAACATTATATGTCATAAATATAAGCTAAGAAATATAATAACAATAAGAATGAAAATGGGGAAGAGGGATTTAGAGGTGGAGAGAGGAGGTAGGGGGGAAGGGTCTAAACAGAGAGAAACAAGCTGTGTTATGTACATGTACCCACTCTCCAAGATGAATGTAAATATCATGTACTGTAAACATGTGCTAATAAAAATTTTTAAAGGAATATTATAATTTATAAATTACTAAAATAGTATATTCCATGAATGAATTTTAAACAATATTTGGCATAGTGGGAAAGAACTTTAGATTCAAAGGAATAAATGTAGTTACTCATGCAGATAAAGTAATGGAAAATAATGGAGAGATAACACAAGATTAGAAGGCACAGTGGATTTTCTTGTTTTGGTACTGGAGATCGAACTCGGGACCTTGCACTTGTGAGGCAGGTGCCGGAACCACTGAGCTAAATCCCCGACCCCAGTGGATTTTATTATATGTGTAAATGGGTTCACAGAAGGAAATGTGAGAGACTGGTACAAAAGCTATACCTGAAGAAATAAGACAAGAATATTCTAAAACTAGTTTTTATTTTTATTTTTTATTAGTATACATTTGCAGTACATCATGTTTACATTCATTGTGGGGAGTTTGGTACATGTACATATATATCTTAATTCTTTTTTCAACCCCTTACCCTTCTCTCTCTTCCCACTCCCTCCATCTTGAAAGACATCGAGCTGTGGATTCAGGCAGGCCTATGATCTCAGTGCAGGATAAGAAACAGATGTGCACATCTAGTCAGAATCTAGAGGAAAGGCTCTACTTCAAAGAAGCAACACTTACATCAATAGCTGACTTCCCAAGAACATGGAAGCCTGAGGAGAAAGGCATGACATTTCTAGATTCTGAACAGTTTAAATGCCAACAAGGAACAACATCATTTTAAAAAAGAAAATAAAAACAGAGTTCATTACTAGAAATCCCACTTGTGCTGGTAAGTGTCTAATTGGCTTTCTGAGGTAAGTGTGTATGAAGATGAGCTTTTAAAAATCAAAAATATTTTTTCTGATATAAAGGGAAGGTAGCACACAATTTACAAATAAAATATACCCAACTGTTTATTGTAGATTATGTGTAGTCAACTGGTCCCTACTGAGTGTCTTTATTACACAACTGTTGTGGATTTAACATGTAGTCCCACATGAATGGTAACAAGATGAAGGTGAAGAAGTTGAAGATATAAGAATCTTGTGTATTTCACAATGACATGAGTGACTGATGAATCAGATAGTCATTTTAACTCTAGGATGAATATTTTGTGCTATTCAAAATGTAATGGCGAAGGTATGAGACTTTTAAAATTAATGTGCATTATTAACATCTTCTCCATCACATTCTTTGCCTAGATCACTGGTTGGTAAGCCCTTTCTTAAGGGGCTAGATGGTAAATATTTTAGGTTCTGTGAGCCATATGGTCTCAGTCTCAAATACATGACTCTGCTATTGAGCCTGAAAGCACATAAAGGGGAGGAACAAATGGATGTGATTGTGTTACAATAAAACTTTATTTATTAAAAAAAGGTCAGACCCAGTCCTAGTTTACCAATCCCTGTTCTAGGGAATGAAATAAATGAAGCTCCAATTAGTAGCAGTTGCTGATTTGTATTGTGTAAATGCTCTCAGTAGGGATAACTTCTAGCTAGCAATGTGACAACACTGAATGTAGCTTTGAGATCCTCAGTATCATACCATGATAAAAATGACCTCAAAGGCATGGATAGCAGTGAAACTAGTACAAAA